CACACACACACACACACACACACACACACACACACACACACACACACACACACACACACACACACACACATGCAGACACACAGAGAACCAGGTACACACACACACACACACACACACACACACACACACACACACACACCCTCTCTCAGACAAAGGCACACACACACACACACACACACACACACACACACACACACACACACACACACACACACACACACACACAGAGAACCAGGTACACACACACCCTGCAGATGTGTGTGTGTGAGGAATGTCTGACAGTTCCTCTGACGTTACAGGACGCCCTGCTGTCACGCAACAGCTCCCAGCTGGAGGGGGGGGAGGCGGCGCAGCAGAGGAGGGAGGAGGCGTCAGAGAGGTAACAGCCGCTCCAGGTGTATAACACAGGAATGCCCCCCCCCCCCTGCAGGGTTTCAGTGATACAGTGTGTGTGTTCTCAGGAGCTGGCAGGCGGACTCGGTGGACAGCGGCTGCAGCAACAGCACCGCTTTCACCCCCCCCACTGAGGGGCCGTGTGCAGAGGGCGTCACCAGCAGGGGGCCGAGCGGCAAAGTGAAGGTGAGGAGGAGCAGGTTCAAAGGTCACCTGTTATTTGTCTTATACGTGTGGAGACATTTCGATCAGCCTTCTCCCTGTAGTGCCCAATGTCATTGTCCTATTCTACTGTCTTGGAATGGACATTGAAGAAGAGTGAAGGGTGGATTTACAAATGGATATGGATTTATGGTTTAATGGAGGACATTTTTGTTTGGGTGCATTCACACCTAATAGTCCGCTCTCTGGTGCACCAGACCACAGTTTGTCACATTGTTTCATTTTTCAGAAGGTTCGGTTTGCGTTCACACGGGCAAAACTCAAACGGACTATAAACTTTAAACACAAGTCATGTGCACAGAAATGCTGTTCAACCATTGGTCAGACATTAAGGGGGTAAAAACGCAAATCCCGGCAATTTCTAGCGGAGCCTCCGCCATGGAGCATCAGCAGGTTATTCTCATGCAGCTGTTAATCTGGAGATCAACAGACACTAGCGGCCCGGCATATGATTATATAATCAGACAAGGTCCGTTAAAACAAAAATGATTACATGGCTTTGTTGAATACTCGATTCTGATTGGTCAATTCAGAACACGTGACACGTTGTCAATCCAGAACAGACAGACCGCTGTCAAGGATTTATTGACCGTTGTTAAGGACGCTCACATCTGCACAAAGAAGTCCGTTCGATTTAACTGTATACAGTTTGACTGAAAAGCAATGCCGATCTAGATCCCTCCGCTTCGCGTCGGGCTCCTGTTCAGCCTGTCGGTGTTATTTTCCCCATAATGACCGCGCCACTGCACATTATCCATGAGAGACGTTCTGCAGTAAGGAGGGGCGTTTCACCGACGACAGCTGTTCTTACTTTTATGTAGTAGCTGACGGAGAATTTTTACTTTACACGACACTGTTCAGCACTTCATTCTGCTTCACTCTTTAACTAAACAACCGCGTATGTCTTGAAAGACTCTTTCGCTAAAGATTTTGAAGATATCTGCGTTCTTGTGACACGTAAACTGCGCTTCCTATGTTTTGGTGCGGACTGCGTTCACACCAGCAATGAACCGCTCTAGAGTTCGCAAGCAAGCGCTCGGAGACCACCTATTTTAGCGGACCAGAGTCCGGTTGTTTAGTTCACTTAAGAGGTCTCGGACTGTGTTCACACCGACCCAAATGAACCGCACCAAGCGGCTAAACGCACCAGGGTTCGATTCAACCGGACTATACAAGGCTGGTGTGAACGCACCCGAGTATTTATGGTTAGGATTGGTCGGCTGCTTTTTTTTTCTTGTATATGTGATCATTTATATACTGGGGACGTTGGGAACATATCCACCACTTTGCATTCGGATAATCTGATAAACAAAATCTGAAAAAAAGAATGGTCCACTTTGAGAACATGTACAATCTGGAGGACTGTTCTCTCCTTCTGGCTGTTTTCCTGAAACCCCATGTTTTATATTAGTAATAATTGAATTGAGAAAAGTTTAGCAGCAGCTTTGCGCTAGTTATCAAAAAAGTATTGTAACTAAGAATATGTACATCTGTATGCATGTATTGTTTGCAGGCGCTTAATGCAGTATTGCTTTTTTAAATCTGAAAGAAGTGTCGCCAAGGCTTGTTCTAACAAAGAGACGCCCTCCCCACGGTGAGGAGACAGTTACTGTGTTCGGGTCAGATCCTCTTTATCTAAGTTGCTCTGCTCCTCATTTGATTTCCATTGACTTTCTTTATTACTTTATTAAATATAATATAATGTTTATGAATCATTTAGTCGTTTCTTTTGAGGGAATGAAAACCTCTCGTCCTGAAGGAAGCAGCTGATGGGGGGGGGTTATAGACACAGCGACATATATATGTATTCCTCTGTCTGCAGGTGGAGAAGGGCACCATGACGGAGGCTCTGATCCCCGATCCGGTGAGGGTCCGGTCCAAAGAGAGGGGGGGCCGCTGGGGCCACGCCTCCCCCTTCATGAGGGGCAGCACCATCGTCCGGTCGCAGACCTTCTCCCCCGGGGCCCGGAGCCAGTACGTCTGCAGGGTGAGACGTTTGTTTTAATAATCTAAGTTCAGTTAAAGTAACCAGCATCACCGTGCACCCGCTTCAGAGAGCTTTGTTGTTACCAGGGATGAGAACTTGTCACCTTAATTCGCCGTTTTGATTCGTGTAGCAATAAATATATATTTTCGGTATGGGAGATTTAAGATAAGAAACATATTTCAGTGTGGAGAAGTGAGATGGGTTCCTGATGGAGCGAGGAGGAGCAAAACACAGAGAAGAGAAGCGCTTCTGACCGAGATCTGTTGTTGTTGTTGTTTTTGATCTGTTGTTGTTGTTGTTGTTGTTGTTGTTGTTGTTTTTGTTTTTGAGTTTCTCTGGATATAAACTGTCTGTTTGTGTGTTGCAGTTGTATCGCAGCGACAGCGACAGCTCCACTCTACCAAAGAAAACTCCGTTTGTCAGGAACACTCTGGAGAGGAGAACGCTGAGATACAAGCAGGTACATTCTGCTCTTTCTCTGGAGGGGGGGGTCTGAGGGGGTCAG